ATTTATTTAATTTATTTTCAAATTCCAAATGGTGTCAAAGCATGCTATCACACTTACCAAACTGAATTTGGGTTAAAGACCAGGCAAATTCATCAGCTCTTTTGAGAGAACAGGTAGAGAAAGCTAAAAAGCAAGAAGCTTTTATTTGAATCATAAATAAGTAAAAATTGAGAGTTCAAATTTCCCAAAAGAAATCATTGCTCAGTTTCCAGGAATCAATGGAGACTTTTGTATCTTAATGATTTTGCAGACCACAACCATTTTCTTCACAAAAGAAACATTAATAATATGATGACAAATACACTGGTCTTAATCTGTAAATACTATCACGTGGTTACTGATACGGAATTTTGTGATCTGGGAGTTTGGATTTTTCCATCTCATGAAGATAGAATAAGACAGCTGAGCTAAAATTGTTCAGTAATGGAGTCATAGTAATTAGCTGTACATGGTGGGGTTTTCCGTTTGAATCTGTCCCAGGGCATTAAGCACCACACACACTGTGGTGTTTGCGGCACTGTCGATGAGATTCTTTATCTTTGAAAATCACCCGATGCTTTCCAGATGCTTTTGGAAACAGTGAGGTTTGTTCTCTTCTCCCAGGATTTTTGTGAGTGTGATGGGTAGTTTGTCCAGTTAGTCAAGGCATTCACACATGAGATACGATATGGGAAAATGAATTGGATTTGTCACGACAGATTTGCCATGCAGTTCTTGGTCTCCGGTCAGCAGAAATGCTGAATGCTGTTCAAGAGATGAAATCTCTTTATTCTGGAAGGATCACTGGAACCATTTCCCATGCAAATCAACTGGATATGGAAGCAAAATTTAGAGCAAAGGAAATGTTGATATTCATGTTTAATTTGGTCTGTACTGATCTGATACTGTTAACTATCTCATTTGTTTTATTTTTTAAAGTACTATGTATTATTTTGATAAATGCATTCAATTTCATTTAAATTAAAGTTTAATTAAACTTATATAGCAATTTCTACATTTCAGGCATTGTTCTAAGTTCTTCATAGATATTAACTTATTCTACCTGGCCAGGTGACTCAGTTGATTTGGAGCATCATCAGGTATGCCAAAGGCTTGTGAGTTTGGTGCTTAGCCAGACCACATGCCTAGGTTGTGCCCAGTCAAGGCCCATAAGGCAGGCAACTGATTGATATTTCTCTCTCCCTCCTTCCTTCTCTCTCTACAATCAACAAACATATCCCCGGTGAGGATTAAAAACATATATTAACTTACTGCATCCTCGTATCAGCCTTCTGGCGGAGGTTCTATTTTTATCGTGTCCTTCACACAAATGAGAAAACAAAGTCGCTGGCAGTTAGGCAGGAAACATGACCAGATCATATTCTGGCAGTCTCAGTTTTATTGTATTTCCCTGGCAAATATTTACTTTAATATTAATTGAGTAATTTAATATTTCAGTTCTTCTTTGCAGTGTGTATACACTGTTAAGAGTATATGATTGAATTTTACTACCATAACAAAATCCAAGACTTTATTGTATAGTAAGCAAATTTAATCCATTGTATATATTATTATAATTTTTTACGTCTGTTGTCACATTTATACCTTCTGATTGTCATTTTCCTGTTGCTATTCTGTTTGTTTTCTGTATATTCAAAATATCTTTACTTTTTTATTCTCATATACTCTTCTTATTTTAACCAACGGTATTTATTTTCAACTTTTCAAGAGGATCTTAGCTTAATATTCTGATGGTCAAAGTTACAAATAGAGCATCTATGTAGAATAGAATTTCAGTAGAATATCAGTTTGCTTTTCTGTGCTTTCTGCCCTTTCAGTTCCTTGAAAATATTTTGTAAAATATTAAGCATGCTATGTTTATTGACCTCATTTATTTATATATATATGCATATATACTTTCTTTTTCAGTAATTGTCTTTGTCATTTTCATGTCAGCAGTTACCCAAACTGTCTATTTTTATACTAAAAACTACTTATTGAATGTCCTATCTCCCAAATAATAAGCAGATAAGTATCTCTATCTTGCCAAATCTGAAAAAAATATCTATATACTTATGATGTTTCAGGAAAAAGTAATGACAAAATGCAGAGCCAAATACATCCTAAAAAAACCCCAAAGACATGGACAAGTGATGATCCTATGTGGACCTGATCTGAAGGGCAAAACAGCCTGCCCCAAAAATAATATAACCAAACCTGCCTCCAGCCTTCTCTGCAAAGTAAATAAATGCCAGATTACAACAGAGATGTGTTTGGAAGAAAAATGCTGCTTACACATGTTATTTCATGCTGACTTGGTTGTGATGCAGGAAAGGGGAGTACATTGTCAAACGTGCTCTATTGCCCCTGGAACCCCTCCTCACTGATAGTCTGACCTGAGTGAAACTCTCCTGTCCTCTTCCTTGGAGATACTTCACTGCACATTGACATGCACTCCTCCTGGTGGCTGAAGAACAAGGAGAAAGGGAAAGTTGAACCCTTCCCTGCTACATGTTTAGATCACTGCACTGCACCTAACCCTAACATATCTGCAAGCCACTATTGTCATTCTTTTTGTGCAGATAAGAAAACTGAGGCCTGGAGAGGGTAGATCAGCTGGAGAGAGCCTGATGGAGCATCTGGACCCATTGTTAATAATAGAGATAATCCCAGGCCTGGAAGGAGGGAGTAGAAACAGCCCCCTCTCAGGGCTGCATTTAGAAATTCACCTAAGAATTCACTACATGGTTCTCTGGGCATCCAACCAGTCCACATCCTGAGGTGCAAAGCCATGTCATTAGCATAACAAAAGACACATTTAATGCTCTAAATCACTTGAGAAATTCCAAGGGTTTTAGGAGCCCTGTGCCACAAATAAAAGACCACATATGTTTATCTTAGTTTAAGTCACAAATCACATTACCACACTGTGTTCCTGGTGTTCTTAACCCAGGTTACCAGTTTCTGTCATCTCAGCTCCCAACCTGGCCCCTTCGCCAAAGTTTGCCTTTGCTCTGTAGGATCTAGAGACATCTGGGGTCAAGGGTAAACACTGAATTCAGTGAACAGTGAAAGGAACTGGAAAAATGTTCATCATTGTAAAGAATATTGTTTCTTTCCTCACAATGGACAGAGACTCATTTGGTATAACTAAAAAAAAAAAATCCTAAAAGTGAATCTTTTTATACCAGTCATTCTTCTTTCATTGCATCCGTTTGAACTTATAAAAAGAGCCCCTGGGTGTCTTCATGTGATTGTAGCTAGACTTGGAGAACTGAATCCCTCATAGGCTACATTTGACCTAATTAGAGAGGATTAGAGACCCCTACGTACCGAGCATGCAGTGCCCTGTATTCAGGACAAAGGGAAACTCTGCCTCCTGCGCAACCTTGTGCATCGCTGATGATCAGCCCAAAGCCAGGCTCCCATTTCTTCCCATGTATGCTCCCTCCCTGACCCGCACACCTAGGCATACACCTGACAGGTACTTCAGAGGGGGAGGGTGGCAGGTTTTCTAAAGCCATCCTTAATACAGGCCTTTATGTAAAATATACCCACATTTTCAATAGGGTTTTAAATAAATGAATATGAGAGATTGAGGTAGACAGAAAGATGTGGAACAGGATCTAGCCCCTGTGCAGGAAGAAGGTGCAGCCGTCAGGGCCCAGGATGGGGGCATTGCAGGACTGCCAAAGGCAAGAGGCACCTCCAGGCTCAGGGCTAGCTGCGCAAAGGAGTCCAGAGACCATGTCCACCACTTTCTTTCCAGTGTCCTCTAGGAAATGTGCAAAACATGAAAATCTTGGCTAAACTGAATGCAAGGGACACAGACCAGAGACCTGCAGGAGATAACTGGTCGGGAAGGTGAAGAGCAAGCAGTGTGGCAGAGCAGTCACAGGCACTAACAGGCGATTGCACTCACGTACAAGCATATACACATCATACATGTGCACCCCAAGCAGACACTGATGTACATATGTGCATACACAAGTGCATGCACACAACCATTCACAATGAAATGCACACACCTATGTGTACACACACAAACTGGGGAGAGATGCAGAACCAGGGTTGCGATTGTTGCCAGGCCTGTGGCCACACTCCTGCTTCTGCCGGGGCTCCCTGATGCTGGCGCAGCAGCCCAGCCCTTTCCATCCAAAGGCTGCACCGAGGCGCCTAGAAACCCCAGCACGGGCACTGGCGAAACAAGACCAGTCGAGAGCAGCAGCTACTCCCAGGCCAGGAGCGCTCCTACATCCCCGGGCAGATGGCGCAGAGAAGAAGCTTCCTTCACTCTCCAGCTCGCCCATCATCTCACAAGTCCTAGAGCAACATACACAGACTCTGATCTGCGTGTTCGTCAGGAGGTCCGAGTGTCCCAGTCCGCAACCCATCTTCCCCACTGGACAGGAGGGTGGACCCAGCGGGACCCGGGCGAGTCCAGCCGCACACTATCCTGCGGCAGGTGTACGCGCCTTTGGGTGCGCAAGTACGACCCTCGAGGGGTCCTGGGGGAGCCGGTCACAGCGAAGCTAGGCATGGCCACACCGGTAGCTAGACAGTAGGGTCTGTAGAGTGACTGGCGGGCCATCCAACCTCCTCACCACCCCGCGACCCCCCGGCCCCCTCTCCACACTCGTGCCCACCAGGTGTCCTTCGTGACTGTGGATAGGCGAGCGCCTTGGTCCTCTCCTGTCCTTCTGCCCTCGTTCTCCAACCCGCTGCCCCTTCTTCTGCTTCTTTCCTCCTCTTTTCTCCCCTCCTGCCCTCCTCCTCCGCTTCCCTCCTCTCCAACTCCCCTTTCTCCCTCCTCTGCTTCGCTCCTCCAGTCGCTTCCCCTCTCCTACCTTCTTCCTCCCTTCTCCTGCTTGCTTTCCAACCCCTCCCCCTGTTCTCCCACGGTGCGGGCGGGTGCTCCGCCAACGCCCCCGCCGCCTCGGGCGCCACTCCGCCCCCCCGCGCGGTGCGGAGCTGCAGTAATAACCCCCGCGCAGGCAGCAGAGTCACCGAGGGGAAGCCTCCTGCGCTCCAATCGGATCAGGTCCTGGGTGCCCACTTGTGCCCTGCCAGGCTGCGGGACAGCCTGCAGGTCCCGGACGTCCAAAGCGCCCCAGAATGAAGTCGTGCGTTTTCCCCGCGGGAGCGCTGCTCGGGCGACGGGCGCGGGGCGCACGGGGCAGCGGGGCGATGCGGGGCCGCGGCTGCGCCGCTCTCTGGGTGCTACTGCTAGTGCAGGTGGGTGTGCAGGTGAGTCCCCGACAGCGGGGTCGGGGTTCCCCGTGGCTCCCCTCGCTCAGCCACCAGTCTCACCGAGGTGTCGCCGCTGTTTTCCAGAAGGCACCTGCGTGCGCCTTGGGACCCTCAGCGGCCTCGCCAGGGAGCCCGAGCGTCCAGCGTCCTCCCAGTCCCACGGAGTGGCCCGCCTGGGTGGAAAAGGGCGGTAAGTCCGCGAGCAGGTTTCTAATCCTTGCAATGTAACAGCTGGTGACCCTCTAACGCTGTTTCTTAAGGTGCTGTGAATGTTCACCACTCCAGGAACACCTAAGATACTGCCCTGCTTCTTACAAGGGAGCACCTGAGTCCCCCTTCACCACTATTTACATTATATTTCCGTGTGAAACAATGCTGGCAAGGGTTCGCCAGCGTTATTACCACAAACACTAGGGGAAAAGACAAGGATACAGTTTACTGAAAAAGCACTAAAGAGCCGAGGAGGAATCTCCATGCTGTATCAATGTATGCATCCAAGCAATGACAAAGAGCCACCCCTTCCTTCCGCCTCCTCCTTCTTTTTAAACTAAGCTTTCTCTGTCCTTGACTCAGAACAGGAGGCAGAGGCAGCCATTGTCTCTCAGTACTTAGGTCTTAGTATCAAGGTTGATGCTCTTCGAGAATCGGGGTAGTTAGCATATTGTGACATCATAAGCCATGTCCATATCCTGTGTCATAATTTGTCACAAAAACAAATCTGATCCTTTTGCAACGTGTGGTTTTACTTTGGCTGCTGACGAGCGGAATTTGTGAATTTCAGCTTTCCTGGGAACGGACTCTTGCGTCCTGAGCTGCATCAGGGTGGCTGGGAAAACAGGTGCAGAACTTCGGTGGCTCCGCAGTTCTAATCTGAACCCAATGCATTGGCAATTACTAAATATTAGTATTCGCCTCATGTTCAACAATAAATGGACATCTTAAATATGAATAATGACTTTTGAAGGAAGAACAAGATTGGATTATCACGGCATAATTTCAAAAAATCTTGAAAATTAGAGTTAATAATTAGAAATACCTGATATGGTTTCTTCACCTTGATAAAACTATATGAAGACAATAATTTAATGTCTGCATTAACTATTGAAATTCAATTGACTATAGTCATCGATACGCAGTAGATACAGTAGTAAATCTGAGGAATGCAGTAACTGAGGACCTTTTCCAGGACCACCAGAGGGTGCTAGATGTAAATAATATAAAATATTTAAAAATTACTTTTCACTGTGTATTTAAAGCTCCCTTTCTTGTGGTTGCCTGGTCTTCTCTATTGTTTCTCTTACAATGCAGTCTACAATATAATTACCCACATTAGAAGTTAATTTACCCCTCACACTTAAAAACAGATTTTTGTGAAAACTTTAGTTTTTTTCAATTATGAAAATTCCTGAAGGTCTCAGGAGAGTTTCAAAGTACTTTATGAAGTTTCCTTTAAGATAAGAGTGTTATAGACAGAGAACCATTTATTTCCAGGAGGGGCAGCCAAGACTTCCTGTCAAGCGTGCTTTTCCAAACCCTGGGAGAATAGACCCCTATGGGCTGGAATGCAGCCTGGCTGGCACGCAGCTCCAGGCACAGGGCACCTCAGCTCCTGTCGCAGCCCAGATTTTTCACGACAGCCACTTACCTTACTTGGTCAGAACCTGAAGTGGAAGGTACAATCCGTCGTCCTGGAAGGTCTCGCTGAGTGGAAAAACTGTTCTTACCCCCCACCTCCATTTGTTTTAGGTCTTTCATTTTAACCAGCTAGGCCGAGAGAGGGGGTATCCAGGGACAACCTTACATGACCAGAGAAAGACTTTCTAGTCAGCGGTGTTACCTGTTTCCATCTTAAAAAGAATAAACTGTGTGTGGTGCTGGGGTCAGTTTACTGCATACGAGTATACAGTTATATTCATATAAGTTAAAATAACTCCTTTGGCCATAATGTTTGTTTAAAATATATTTAAAACTCTACTGCAAATTTCACTGGTTGTCTGAAGTAACTACGCAACAGGAAAGAGCACTCCATATACCCCTTGCGACAACAAAGGATAACTACATTGAGAAATTCTACTTTTGGACATTAGGTATGCCCATTACATTTTGGCTGATTTAGCATTGCTTTTCCTTCGTAGTAGATTTAAATGTGTTCTCCTTCTAATTTACCATTATAATAAAAATTGTGGCTCTTGTTAAGAGCAGAGGCATGTCACAAATTTGCTAACGTCTTCATTCTAGAGTGAATTAAGCTTCCAGGAAGGTTTATGAGTTCCTTCGAACTTCGTTTCATTGGACATAATAGATCTGTGTTTGTGCTCTGGAAGTTTATATTGATTTACATTCAAATATTCACATCACATGAGTCAGGGCAGTCTCTTTCAGGTTGACCAGTGGTGTAAATGTTTAACAAGAGGCTCTTTGGAGCTCTGATTTGTAGCATTTGCTTGCTGTCACGGGGTCATTACTCCCACCCTGGCAAATTTCAAGATATCAGTGTGATGCCACTAAAGGCACAGTGAGGATGCAGTGTGCAAAACTGGCTCTCTGCAGCCGGTCACGTCAGTCCGAGGACACATCCAGGTGGTCCACACCTCATGCTCTCCATCTGAACCAGAATATTCCTAGGTTTGATATTGTGGTCAAAAAATCTTTTGAAATCAAGCAGTCCAAGGTGCTGACTGAATCAGCCATGTGTATTTTTTTCCCCTTAAAAAAATCTGCATAGGACCAAAGTCCTATCTAAAGGATTCTCAAAGGTCAGGGATCACATTAAGTTTTTTCTCAAGATCACAAACCAATAGTTTGGGGGACTATAATCTTAAAACATAAGATCAAAAGTTAGTTTAAAATTTTCAGTTTACTGAAACTATATACTGACTGTTCTCCAAATAGTATGGTGAGATGCTATACTTATTTTGTTCATTCACTGAATTCTTTAGCTATGACCTTTTCACACTGACTCATATGTAACCGAGAGCGTATTTGATTTGAAGGACTTCTTTTTCACCACAGCAGGATTTCTCCCCCTTCACATTGTTGACTTTTTGTTGTCGCTGTCTGTCCTGTGCTTCGAAGACCGCATAGCAGCTTCCTTGTATTCAAACTGCTAGATTGCAATAGCACCACTGTCCGCTCCTGCTAAGGGACAACCAAAAATGTCTCCAGTCATTTGTCCTCTAACAGTAGGGGAGTAACCCCTGTTTGAGAACCACTGGAATAAATTGAAAGCCAGGTCTTCAGCCATCACACACTGCCACACCTCACTCTCAAAGGGGATTGTCATTGGTGTCCATGAGTGAGGTTGGGGCCAGGGTGCTGGGGCCAGCACCTGCCAGTCCTTCAGAGCTGACTGGTACCTTTTCAGGAATTTTGCAAACTGGTTATTGAGAGTTAAAATGTATGAACTTACAGTTGAAGTAATCATAGTACACACAAAACTAAAATACTCAAACCTCATCATCACTTCACAATTCTTTTACTATATTTTACTACCATCTGTGGTTGTGAGGTTGTTTGCTGGGACAGCATCTGCCTGGTGGCAATGCTGTGTAATAGCCTGCTCCTGTGAGTCTCTTCTGAAGTCCCCATTCGGCGATGTCACACATTGGTCATCAAAATCAGCCAAGGTGGGAGTATGTACACCAGAGGAACTGGAAAATGTTGTAAACCAGCCTGTTTTCTTCCCCCCCAGTAGCTGGTTGTCACACATTTATCAGCACAACACTGCATGTGTTAGTGTAAAGAGGTTTATCAGCCATTGTTTCAAAAAATAGGTATTATCTGCCATCCAAAATAAAGGCCATAAGATTATGGCTTATATCATCTGGAAACAATTTGATTTTTTTAAATGGTAATTATCTTTTCACGTGCAATAAATTTGTGCATTAGCCAGTGTTTGGAGCCTCCCACATGCTTCTGTCTTTACTCCAGGGCCTCTGCTGGAATGGAAACAGGCTAGTGGCGATAGGGGAAAACTTCCAGAGAGTCCTGGGGAGGGGGCAGGATGACAGACAACAAGATGACCCTGTCACACCAGCCTGTCCCCTTCGTCCAGAAAGCAGGGATGAGGAAGGCAGTTGGGCCATGCACTTTCCACTTTTGTTCTTTGGAATGGCCCAGGGCAGACTGTGGTCACACACTCACACCAGACAAACTGATCTTGATGTGTTTTCGCTTTCTTCTGTCCTTGTACACAATCTAACTGAATTTGTTTCACTGTCTCACTTTCCTAAAAATTGTGAAATAATTCCATGTATTTTGCCCTGTGTGACACAGTACCCTGCTTTGACGTATATTTCAACGGTTAGTTGTCAGGTTGTCTGCCAGAACCTGCTGTCTGTCTGATTTGTACGTGGCCCATCTCACCAGTGCCCATTCACCTGTACCTGTACAGCAGGGCCACGCCTGTGGGCCCAGCAATGGACCCAGAGAAATCCCACATCAAAGCTTTTGAGCAGGGGAAACAGGAAGCCTAAGGTCACAGAGGCCATAGCCGAAGCCTCCGTTATTACACTTCTTGTTCAGATTGGCCTTCTGGCCTCAGACCCTCCCTTGCCATGGGCTTCAGCAAAGGGGCTGGACAGCAAAGGGATATGAGGACAGGAACCTGTCCCAAAAGAGTTTTAGTTGTGGAAAAAAAACCTTATTTTTTCCAGACAAAAAATTCACTCGAGTACTGCTGACGTGTGACCAAATGCCACTTCAGTAGGACAATGTTTTATTTTATCTAAGACTCGAAGAACCTTGTTCAGCTCACACAAAGGCAGAAAGGGCCCCAGTTTTAAGCATCTAGCAGAACAGCTTCTTAACAAGGTATATTACTAATAAAAGAAGAACACATACACATTCTTCAGACACTAGAATCAGGAGAAGGATATTAGTATCAGCCTCTCATTAGGCACATAAGAGGAATTTGCATTTAGAGCCTGAAAAGACTGTTCACTCAGTGCAGGGGGAGAGCTTTCTAGCCTTCTCTGAGTTTCAGCTTGACATCTGTTTCAAATACGTCTTGGGAGGAAGGCTGGATGCCAGACTAACCTGCCATTTTCTCATGGTTAGAAAAAATGCAGTATAGGCAGCAGGCCCCCTTGGAAGGTATGTGGGGCTCATTGCTGGTGTGCAAATAGAGACTCTATACCCTATGTTTAATTATCTGAAAGGTATAAACCAACCTAACGCATCGTTAACTAAGAAATTTTTTGACCTCCGCCTTGACAAGTTCAGCTTCACGTGGTCTGAAAGTCCAAGTTGGACAGTAGAAGGTGACTGACCACACGGGGACAGTTGCCCCTGGCATGAAGCCACCCCTAGCTAGACAAAGTTCTGTCCTGCTTGGGACAGAAACCACCTTTCCCTGACCTTTGGAGAGCAGAGATGATATCATTAATGATGGTACTGAAAAAACAAATCCTGGTTATAAAATGAAAATAAGTTTTCATTTCTCCCTTAATTTTCTCCCTCAGAGAAAATTACCTCTTTGGAGAAGAAAACTAGACTATTTCCAGGAAGGCAGTAGAGGCCACTGTCCAGGATTCGGATGCAGTTTCTCTCTTTACTTTTCACAGAGAGGAAATGACTCAGATGTACACGGAATGCAAACTGTAAGAGTGTCTGTGATTGAAGCTCTGCAGACCTGTATGGGTGCCCGGAAATCTGATAACTCCTTGGGGTTTTCTTGACTATTTAAAAAGAAATCATTTAGTTGAATGCATTTTATGCTAGCATACCGTAAATTAGAGTGGGAAGAAGAGTGTGCTTCACGTCTTTGAAAAGCCCTTGAGTGTGAAATATGATCAAGCGTTAAGAGCTCAGGCCCATTGGAGGGTCAACAGTGGCTTTCATTGGGAGCAAATACACATGCGAACATTTCCAAATGTTAACATCTGGGACACCTGGAATGTGTGTGCCTTCCCCCTTTTCTCCTATGTAGTCAGTGATTTAATAACTGAATATCAAAAACTAAGCAGCAAAGGAAGCCCATCATACTCATATTTTAAGTGTTTTCTGAAAAATTGGAAGCATTTTTAAGCTAAAATTTCTTAGCAATAGAGATGTTTTTAAAAAACAAAAAATATAACTAAAAGAATGTTTACAATGATGCAAATTGCCCTAAAGTGAAATTATGAAATATAATCATACAACACAATTTTTTAGTTTTATTTGGTGTGTCATCTAGTTTTCCTTTGAAGTGTTGAATTGGTTGGCTTGGTTGTAACACGTTACAGGAGCAGCAGTGACTTCCCTTGTAAAGGAAAACATTTTCTTTGTCTGATTCTATGCATCATACAGTTTGGACTCGCGGGTGGATTGATGTTGATGATTTCTCCATTTTATTCTTAGTGAAAGTTTCATCTGGAAATAAATTGTATTTGGAAATTTTTGTATTCTTTTCAGAATTCTGAAATTCCTTAGTCATACTGCCTCTTATACTTTCAGAATATGACCTGGTATCTCCTTATGAGGTTGACTACAATGGCAACTACGTGTCCCATGAAATCACACACCCTCAGAGGAGGAAAAGAGCCCTGGCTCAGCTCGGAGTGGACTCTCTTCACCTTCGGCTGAAAGGTTTCAGGCATGACTTTCACATGGAGTTGAAAACTTCCAGCAACCTGGTGGCTCCTGGATTTGTCATACAGACATTGGGAAAGGGAGGCGTTAAATCACTGCAGGCTTTCCCGCCCAAGGATTTCTGTTTCTATCAAGGCTCCTTACGATCCCACACAAATTCCTCCGTGGCTCTTTCAACCTGCAAAGGTTTGGTGAGTACAGCTCTTGCTACCTGCAGTGAGATGGCAGGGACAGTGATGTGTGAAAGAGGAAAGATGACCAATTTCCCTTGAAATATTTCAGCTTGATTTTCTATTATTGTAGTGCAGGCTTTTCTGATCCTAAAATCAGGAGATATTGCCAAATAATCAGTCTAAAATATGCCATACTTCCTTCCTTCTTTGGCCCATTTGAATATAGCACACATGCCTAGCCTTTCATTGCCTTTGTTGTTTTAGAATTGTGGGAACGAACTGCAGCTTGAAAATTGTGCATAAGAATTTATGGCCACCTGTGCAGGAACTGACTTCTCGGAGGATGGCTGTGCTCTAACTACTGGTCCATTACTAGCACTGGAGAAGTGCCCTCATTTTGAATAGAGTACAGTACTCAGCTGATTGGCTGTGGTAATTATTCGATCAGTTGCTTAAAAGCACTTTATTTCTGTCATTCTGATGAGGATAACATACTTCCCAATTAGGGTGTTAATTCCAAATGGGTTGATGAATTCATGGCAGGGAAGTACTGATCTTATTGGACTGATGATTCTATTGGTACATCCCCCATTATCTTAGTATGAGATGAATACATTAAACATCATTTAGATGCTTCATGTGGTCTGGTTTGCTGGGACCCCTAGAGTGTGAGGCACCTGGCCCAGTTGACAAGATACTGCACCCCTCAGGCTGATCCAAGCTGAAATCCTAATGGCTTGTCGTTTAACTTTTCTTAAAATACGTTCATATTTTTAGGAAAGAAAAGCTTATTAGATTCTTGAGTGCAAGCTAATTAGTCCATGTAATTTAGGAAGAACATAATTTAGATGGCAAAGGGAAAATGTGTGAGCCAAACACCATAAGATCATGACCATGTTAAAGGTTTGGAGAATAAGTTTCTGAGCATTTACTACATCTCGAGAAAATGCTTTAAGTCTGCCTTAAATTTCTTTTCCTTTTGAAAAGGAGAAATCATACTCTATATATCAGAAGGATTTTGTGTATTTGTATGTGAATAGTGGATGATGCAGGAGCATTTGTAACCAACTTCTTAAAATACTAAATATTTGCAAATGCTAAATCCTGTTAATTTTTTAAAAATACTAACTTCTGCTTTTTTAGGGAATTTGCTATGGGTTGGTCTCATGTCTACTCTTATTTGTAGAAGACTCTTGGTTTGAGAACGATACAGTAGAGAGTTGCCAAGGATAGGGTGGTGGTTATTTGGCAAACTTGTTAAGCATGAAGACAGTGTGGCTGATTTTTTCCATGTTTTCTCAAGAAAAATAGACCTTCCTTATTACAGGGCTAAACTCTTCATGTAATACACTAAAGGAAGATAGCTCTTCCTTGGCTTTCTTCAACAAAGGTTCAGACTAGAAATGGAAGCCATCTGTGTGGTAGGGAATTGTGCCATGCCCTTCAGAGCTCAGTATCCTTGGATGTGTTTGCAGAGATCACTGGGCGAGGTGCTTTCCATTAACCCAGTAGGGGTGCAGGCTCGTTGACGCTAGGGTCTCTGTGAGCCAAAGCTCTCCCAGATTTGTGGCTCTCTTTGAACTCAAAATAGTTAGTGAAAGTTGTAAATGGCAACTATGTGAAAATTAAAGAAGTGGTAAAGAACAGAAAAAAGGGGCTCTTCTGTTAACAAACACTGCAATTTAATATTTTGGTCACTAGAACAGAAATCTGTGTGCTTCTACCGTTAATCTTCCAAATACATTAATCCCAACTTCACTGACGCTCTGTCTGTAGACGGTCATAACAAATATGACCTCAATTAGACTTATGGGTGTGAGGTTCAGGGGCTTTTGCCAGATGATAAGACAAATCAAAGGCATTTTAAGGAAGAAAAAGGGAGGATAAAGAAGTCTTCTCCCTTTAGCCAGATAATAAAAAACGTTGAATGAGAATGTCCCTCTTGATGCTGCCAAGTCTGTTATTTCTTTCCTGATTGATGGTTACCGCAGCCCTCCTCTTCCAAATCTGTTAACGTATAAAGAAAACTAGCATGTCTTTTAAGTTGGATGATGGGTCTTTTTTGTTAGTGTTATTGTTCTTGATCCTTACAGATTTTAACTAAGCTCCAGGTAGATCACAGTTAAGCATTTTTTTTTCAGGGTTTCTAATTGACCCAGTTATCTGAGGGGAGCCCAGAGTCAGAAGAATTCTCTTTTATTTGCTCTGTGGTCACTCACACACATTTGCAGCCCCGATGGGGGAGTGCTTTGAAAACAAGATCCCTGGTTATGGGAAATAACCAATATCCTATTCTTTCGACTTCATCTATAGTACAAAACTATTATCTTTAAGTGAAAATATGTTCCCTAATTAAGAGTTTAATATGCCATGTTATTCAACTAAAGAAGGTTGTTTACAGTTGTAAGACTCTGCAGTTTCCAGGGTGATAAATGGTTTTTCCCCAGGTTCTCAGATTTGAGTTTGGGAGCATTTGCTTTAGTCCTCTGTGGAACATGTTTGGATATTGTGAGTGATGCCGCTATGAACATTTGTGTACAAGTTTTTGTGCAGAAATATGTTTCATTTTTCTTGGGTTTATACTTGGGTATAATTACTGAGTCATATGGAAATTCTATACTTACAATTTTGAGAAATTTCTAACCTGTTTCACACAGTAGTGGTACCATTTTCCACATACAGAGCTATGTACATGGTTTCTAACATCTCCACATTCTGGCCAACACTTGTTGTCCATCTTTTTATCATAGCCATCCTAGTGAATACGAACTGGTATCTCACTGTGGTTTTGTTTTACTTGACAGAGAGTATTGGTTGGCAGTTTATTGTTGCTGTTATTTTTCCCCCCAGCATTTTGAATATGTCATTTTATTTCCTTTTGGATCCCATTGTTTCTGATTATAAGTCAGCTGTTTATCTTACTTTAGTTTATTGTACATAGAAGTGGTTTTTCTGTTTCTGTTTTCAAGATGTTTGTCTTTGTATTTCAACATTCTCACTATGATGTGTATTGGTGTGGGTATCTGTAGGTGTGGGTAACACATGAATAATGCTGCTATGCATATGTTAGTATGTTGATGGTCCCCACATTTCTCTGAGGATTATTCAGAGAAATAATACTTTCATTATTCTTTCTCTGTGGTCTTCAGATTGCATAATTTCTATGGGTTTATCTTAAAGTTGACTCATTCTCTTCTGGTAGTTCAAATATACTGCTAAGTTTCTGTAGTAAATTTTTTGATTTGGATATAATACTTTTCTACTTCATATTTTCTTTGGTTCTTTTATATAATTTCTCTTATTCTGTATTTTATGAGACATTGTAAGCTTTGTCTTAATTTTTTAACTACAGTTTCCTTTGATTTTTGAACACATTTATATAATAGTTGTTTTAAAGTCTTTGTCCACTAAGACCAATAACTGGGTCCCCTCAGAAGCAATTTTTATTGGTTGTTTATTTTCCTGTGTATGGATCACACTCTTTCTTTGCATGTCATATGTACACACACACACACACACATATGTATATATGAAATCACATGATACTTATACCACAGTAGGGGAATCATCACATGATACTTGTCTTTCTCTCTCTCTATATATATATATGGATATTGTGAGTAATATCCATATATACTCACAGTATATATGTGAGTGTATATATATTTTTTTTTTGTTGTTGAAAACTGAACATTATAGATAATACATTGTAGCAACTCGAGATAATGACCACCTTTGCCACTCCAGGGCTTGTTATGGTTGCTTTCTTTTTAATTGTTGGTTTGGTGACTTGGCAAACCCAGTCTTCCTGAAAGCCCATGCTACTCTGCCTCTATTGGTGTCCCACTCAGCAGTTAGCCTACACTTAACTACTAGCTTACTGCTTTTTTCAAAACAACACCCTGTGACATAAATTGCTCCACAGTCTGATCCGATTAAAGAGAATCTCCTTTACAAGATGAAGATGCTGCCTGCTTTTGAGACTAACAGCATGGGGAATAAATATTCTTTGATGTCTTTTTCCCTGAGTCTCTGCTGAACTTCTACTCTGTGGCCTGTTTTGCTTATTTCTATGTGTATCATGAGGTGAACAGCCTGTTCTTAATTGCTTGCAACTACAGCTCCATAATTTTTTTGGTGTTTTGTTTTGTTGTTTTTTTCTCATTTCAGCCTTTTAATATTAGGTTAACAGACTACTGCCCATATTCTTTGGGAAATGTCTTCTTTTTTTCTTAACACAATAAATTTGGTGAATTAAACAAACACAGACTCTCACTGTTTTAATAAGAAACATATTGCTTCAGGCCCAATGTCTTTTTAGGAATTTGGCTCCAAACAAGATTTTCTATAAAATTATAATTTCTTGCCAACTTTCAGTTTAGTTGGTTTTCTCCCTTTAGTTTAATTTTTTGAGCTCTTAAAATATCTCTGGGTGTTATGCTTTCAAATGCTCACCAGTTTTTGGTGTAAGGAACTGAATAATTTAAAACAAAAAGTATTTCAAACCCATGGCTACTGTGCTTATAGTTAATATTAAGATGTCCTTAGAGTGAAATTGAATAAGTGAATAAGCAAATAGTGTTTGGTAAACTGGTAGAAATTAAAGATATAATGTGCTTCTCCTAATGAGTATTTTTCTAGCTGTATTCACAGCCTTTCATATTTCAATAACCACATGAAAATTATTTAAAAACTAGCAGAAACTGCCCTGGCCTTGGAGATTTCCCTACTAAAAGGGTTCAGAAATGCGTTTCCCCCACCCAAATTGCTGTTTCAGTGGCTCTCAGCCATAATGACCTTCTGGAAATGTCTGTATCAATGGGATCCTGTATGGTAGCCACCAGCCACTTGTGGCAACTGAGCACTTGAAATATGGCTTGTTCAAAATGAGGCATCCTATAAGTGTAAAAAATATAAAATATCCTATTACTAATTCTTATATTGATCTCATGTTGAAATAACATTTTAGATATATGGGATTTAGTAATATTACTAAAATTATTTTCACCCTTTGCTTT